ATAGGAGTCTAACAATCAACAAATCGTTGGTCGTCGTTTCTCGTTAGAAAGTGAACTTATACCTCAACTAGTGTATTCCATTGGGAGCTGGAAAAATCTAACGCAAGTAATTATATCTGCGATTGAAAATAAGCGAAAAGGGAAATTTAACTGAGAACTCAAAGTTAAAACAAGCAAACTGTCGAATGCGCAGGAAAATAAGGGAAACGATTCGATTTGTGTAAGTTTTACATTTGATTGGTCTAGAAGACAATGCGAAATTTTTAGGTCATTAAAGAGTGTTGTGAAGTGAGAGCAAAGCAACCACGAATTACTTCCTACACTCATTTCAAAATAAATTGATCTTAAACGTGGTCTTACATGATGATGAGCGCAGATCCAGCCGCGCGCGTTCAACCAATCTACAGTGTGTGAAATTCGGAAACCTTTAGCGCCGTCCTCACGGTGTAAGAGAATAAGCTCCTTTTGGGATCGTACACCAATATTCTCCAGCTGTTTTTCAAGCTGAAAAGGGAGGTGAATATAACAGAATGATCACTACGCACTGAAATACGATTAACTCTACAATGTACATGGTAAACAAACAAGCATTTGCCAGCACATCAGAACTTTATATCTTGTCTAAGCCTTTAAACGGGAGATTAAAATCCAGGATACCCAAGTAAGCATGTATGTCAAAAATTTGAATAGTTTGATGCATTTACACTGTTTGTTGCGCCAAAATATAGGGCCATATTTTCACTACTGCTTAAGTAATGTTCATTACTGCGAAGATCACTTTCACGTTCATATCTTTGTCCGCAGTTCGCATGTATGATTTTCAGATCTCTATAGTCATTTTCACACCACTCCACGGGTTTATTTGGAAACCAACATAATGACCAGTTCCAGTTGGCTTGTTCAGTCAGTTGGTAGAGTGCTGCAACAGTATCGCCGCGGTCATGGGTTCAAATCCCGTACAGGTCTTATTTTCACTACTGCTTATGTAGTGTTCATTACTGCGAAGATCGCTTCCACATTCATTTCTTTATCGGCAGTTCTCAAACTCATTAATAATTCATGCTGAGAAAACAAAGGAAATTACAACCGTGAAGGAGGTTTGGACATATGATCTTAATTATCATAAAATCTGGTGACTTTTTGCTTTGATTTTCTCCAAGAATTATTAATGGTTTGAGAAGTTATATCAAACATTCGAAAGGGTGTTTCATCCGATATCCAAACACCTTGAAGTTGGTTAAAAAATACTCGGCTGCGCCTCGTTTTCTCAACCACTTCTCGGTGTTTGGATATCGGATGAAACACTCTTCCTCGTGTTTGATATATTACTTCACATACATGATTTTCGCATATTTGCAATCAATGTGGGCCCTTTAAGTGTTCCGTGAGCCAAACTAAGAAAATCTAAACCACTAATCAGAATAAAGGACATTATCTTAGCGAACCTTTACAGGAACTCAAAATATTCACTCTCGACCGGATTTAACCGTGGGTAAACTTAGGTGAGGGAGAAACAACGAGCTTTGGTTTAGCGACACTCGAAAGAAGTGCATTCGAAACTCCAAGCTGAATCTGAGAAATGTGTGAAATGGCAAAACTGGTAAGGTATATATGCTTTATCAGAATAGAAGTTTTCCTAGCAGTGCTTGAAGAACAAACTGTCCCAAATCAAAGCGCTTTTCGATCGAGTGTGATAAAACCAAAAACCGAGGTTATCACAAGGTTTATCAGAAGAGAGGAAAATATCAGAAGAACTTAACCCTTTCACCCCAAGAGTGACCAGCATCGAATTTCTCCTTACAATATCACCATTGAATCACACATCAATGTCATGAGAATGAAGGAAATGATCACCAACTAAAGAAACTCTTGATTGTTAGACAAATTCTCCTTGTCAGCACCTTAGTAACTGTACAGAGAGCAGTATGGAGAATGTGAATACTGATGTCAGGGTGTAAAGGGTTAATAAGAACTTAAGGAAAAAACAAAGAAGACTTCCTGGAGCGTGGGAAAATCCTGACTAGTTTTGGTCGAGAGGGCATCGAGTTTTTTTAAGACAAGTGAGAGGGCGTAATAAAGAGAAAACGAAGTAGTCCTCTATATAGCCAAAATTCAATTGAAAGTTGAAATATGAGAGGATTAATCGATAAAAACCAAATAAAATTGCTGGAGCTGATACCTGACCAACTGCTGGGCTTCCGTCTGCCACACCAACAATGACAATGGAATCCGCCTGAGAGGGGAAGACAAAATAATACGTTCAATTAAGAAAGGAAAACAAAGAAAAACTATTATTAAATTATGCAATCGAACTTGTACACAACACTTAACGTTTGATGACTGTGCTAGCATTCTTGGCTTATTGCTGTGGCAGAATTTAGTTACAAAGAAGTTAATGCACAGCTCAGTTCGTGGACAACTACCCTCAAATTAACGTGCAAGTAAGCTTTCTCAGAGAGGGTGATTTTTCCCGTTATTTCCTACTCCATCGTGCTCTCTCACAAGGACCAACTATTCTTTGACGAGAACTGAGTTGAGAAGGAGAGGATGGTAAGAAAGGTTCAATTACAAGCGTAGTTTAGGAACTTTAGGAGAGAGTCTTGCTACTCTTGGGCATTGTCAAACTCTTGAATCTTCATGGCGTCTTTAAGTGTTTAGACTCTAACTTAAGAATGCTTCAAATAATACTGTTCGCCATCGACTGTCGCTCAGTTAGTAAAGTATCCCACCGTAAATCTGTGACGATCCGAGCTCAGACTCCTCAATGAAGACTCAGGTCTTTCCTTCTTATCCCAAGCTCGAGTATTATGCTTAAAATCTTTCTTTAACCGTTTATAAAATTTCACGAAGGCCTGAAGTGTTAGTTATACTACTGCTGAATAATTGAGTACTTTACTTACAGGAAAACATATAAACAAAGAGCATATCAAATCTTGTCGTTCCCTTTTGACCCAGTGTTACGTCTTGCGCAGCTAGATGTATCCTGCCAGCACTAATTCTGTTGGGTGTGTTCAAGCGACCCAGCAAGATGTAAGCTTATTACAAAAGAAACATGTTTTTATTTGCATTTGTACCAGGTGGCACGAAAATTTAAAGACACGAAGTTCCCTCTGGTGATTTCGCTCCTCTTTGTCCTCATCGCATTTCCAACAATGGATTCTAAGCCTGCGAAGTGGGTGCCACTCAACGAAGAGGTAAGAATTCTAACCACCGTAGACTGTCCTTAAATTCATCTGGTAAGACCGAGCTAGACCGCTGTTTGGACTTGTTTCTCTAGGTGGATGTTTAATACTTTTTTCTTTTTTGGCAATTAAATTATAGGGAAGCGACAACTTTTACAGTGTGGTAGCCCATGATGAGTTTAGACCTCCCATAGGCAAACGTATCGCTGAGATAAATTTCAAGACTGTGGACGACCTAAATTACAAGTTCCGTCCTTCCGCAGGCAAACGCAATGCTGGCATCGACTTCAACACTAAGGAAGATTAAGATGAGTTTTGGTCCTCCAATACAACCCGCAAACGGAAGTAGGGTGATTTAAAGAAGTTTCAAATAGAATTTTCTAACGATAATCACATCATCTTAAAGTAGCATCACGTACGCATAGTCATGTTTTTTTTCGGGATAGTTTTTATGTTTCTGGTGACCGCTGAAAGAAACACGAGTTAAGTCCTCCCGTATGCAAACGCAGTGCCGTCATGGACTTCAACACTATGGAAGGCCAAGATAAGTTAATCAACTTTAACACTGTCCAAGACTAAGATAAGTTATTCCTCCCCCGGGCAAACGCAGTGCTGGCATCAACTTCACCACTGTGGAAGATCGAGATAAATTTTTTTCATCCGCAGGCAAACGCAGTGCTGGCATCATCTTCAGCACCGTGAAAGACCAGGATAAATTTCTTCCTCCCGCAGGCAAACGCAGTGCTGTCATCACCTTCGCCACTGTGAAAGACCGAGATAAATTTCTTCCTCCCGCAGGCAAACGCAGTGCCGGCGTCAACGTCAACACTGTGGAAGACCAAGATAAATTTCTTCCTCCTGCAGGCAAACGCAGTGCTGGTATCATCTTCAACACTAACACTGCATCGATTCCCAATATTCTCAGAAATGCTCTATTGAATTTGTGTCGGTTCATTGACTTATTCCTTGTTTAATTGTCCATGTGTCTATGAAATTTAAACTTCTTTAAGTTTTTAAGACGCTTGTCGAACTTCCCTTGAGAGTCCTTGTGAAGTTTTCAATATTTTCCAAATTGCCAATTTCCAAGATTTGAAGCCATTTGCTGAACTTCAGTTAAGTGTATGGGCAAAGTGTTCACTTTTCTTAATACTAATTCATGTCAAGGTATTTTGAAAATTTTAATTAGCCACGCCATCAGTCACGCCACTATTCAAATTCTTATCAAGGCGCTTACGGTTCTTTTCCAACCCCTGTGACCACCATTGAAATTAAGTGTCTATTTTGGAAGAATACTAATTTCAACTTCAATTCTAAGCTAAAACCGTTCGGACGAAAAATCAACAAAAACTTATCATTACAAGTAGAGGAGGAGTTTCTAAAGAAAGTTTCTAAAGAAACTGAAGTACTGCGTCGGTGGGGGGTATGACTAGATAATTCGGTTTGATCAACTAAGTTGATATATAATGCAAATTGACCACTGTAAAGATTTTCTACGGCTAAAGTTTCAAGCGTTAGCCTTTCGTTAGCCATTCGCTCATTAAAAGTGATTTGTTCACAGTCTGTGTCAGTGACATCGCCTTTAGGTAAAGGAGCAATTTGAAAATGTCTTAAAACCACCCTCCAAAACTGAGTCACGCTTGCAATCTCATTTCTCTGTCACAGAAACTTCATTTTTGTATAATTACCTTAACAATGAACACCAGTCAGGGGTGGCCAAAATGTGATCACTTACGGTCTGCAATGCAAGTGTCCCTCAGACAGCTCACATCATTTAAGAATCCACTTCCATAGTTTTCTGATGATATCTTATAATAGAACACCGAAACTTATATTGACAATTCAGACCTTAAGACTCTTTCAAGTTCAAGGACGGCCGGGACTTGAAAAGCATTTAAGCATATTAGGTATGTTAAATTAAAAACCATGTTAAGTAAACAAAAATTACAATATCATTGAACCAGAGCAAGAACACTCCCTTTAGTCTCCTTCCAGCGTTATTTGGTCCCGCCACGCAACGCGAGCGTGTTGCTCTCCTGCACATGTAAAGACTTGTTCTCTCACAAGGACCAAATATTCGTCGACGAGAACTGAGTTGAGATAAAATTTTAGCTAGAAGCTTTGAAGTACAGGATCGAAAGGTAAGAAAGGTTTAATAACAAGCATAATTTGGGAAGTTTAGGAGATCATCGGATCATGGGCATCGTCAAGCTCTTGTATGTTCATGACGTCTTTAAATGTTTCGACTCTAACTTAAAAATGCTTCAAACAATACTGTTCGCCATCGACTATCGCTCAGTTAGTAAAATATCCGAAAATCGTGACCGTTCGGGCGGTTCAGAATCCTCAATAACTACTCATGTCTTTTCTCCTTGTCCTAAGCTCGAGCATTATGCTTAAAATCTTTCTTTAAACGTTTATAAAATTTCACGAAGGCCTGAAGTCTTGGTCGTGTCACGGCTGAATGACTATATAGCTAACTTACATGAAAACTAATAAACAAAGAGCATATCAACTCTTGTCGTTCCTTTTGACACTATGTTGCGTCTTACGCGGATAGATGTGTACCGCCAGTAGTAATCCTGTTGAGTGCGCTCAAGCGACCCAGCGAGATGTAAGCTCGTTACAAAAGAAACGTGTTTTTATTTTCATTTGTACCAGGTCGCACGAAAATTTAAAGAAATGAAGTTCCCTTTGGTGATTCCGCTCCTCTTTGTCCTCATCGCAATTCCAACAATGGACTCTAAGCGTTCGAAACGGGCATCACTCAACGAAGAGGTAAGAAATCTAACCACCGTGGACTGTCCTTAAATTCATCTGGTAAGATCGCTGTTTTGACTTGTTTCACTAGAAAGATGCTTTATAGTGTTAGAAGTAATTTCCTAACACTCGTCGTTCAGTTGACTATTTCTTTTATTCTCTCTTTTATTACGCAAGTCAATACAACGGGGACTGGCTCTGGTCCCTCTAGGAAAGTGTGGGTCACCGCATATAAAGTTGACGCTTACTGTGCTGTCAATCTCTAACCTTCGTCATACTTTTATACTTAACTAGCGAATCACGCTAAGCTATGCAGAGTGGAGTTCGCATACTAAGAAGATACCTTCGCGATGTTTACGCTTTACAAAATGACTTTCTACCTTAAATTTCTTAGTCTTACGGTCAAGGTCGAGCGAAACAAAAACCAGATTGATAATATAAAAATTATAATAAACTTACTGACAGAATTAAAATCAAAGTTGAGGAAATATCCTGAGAGAAAATGGTCCTCGAAGACTGTCACATAACGACAGAACAAACAGAAAATTCGGAGAAGAAAGGGCGTACCCAAGGTTCCGCCCCCAAAAGAGCTACGTGCTATGCGTATAAATTACCTGATTATAAATTCAGTGCGGAAGATGAAAAGTACTACATGTTTACGCCTTAAGTCACCTCTAAGTAAAAGAGGTGTCGAGCGTGCCAAATTATACCTGTAAGATAAGACCGCCAAAAGGAATAAGAAAAGATCAATTGGCTTATTATCACTTTTACTATGTGGCTTGTGCTAATATATTATTTCCATTCATTTTCAGCGTTCAAATAAGTAAAAAAACACCTATTATGGGAATTCTTGCAAGATGCCAATTTTGTCTTTTAACTATAGTTTTTTCTTTTTTTGAAATCAAATTATAGGGAAGCGACAACTTCCACAGTATAGTAGCCCATGATGAGTTTAGACCTCCCATGGGCAAACGTTTCGCCGATATAAACTTCAACTCTGTGGAAGACCAAAATGACAAGTTCCGTCCTTCCAATGCCGGCATCAACTCCGAAACTATTGAAGACCAAGATAAGTTAGTTCCTCCCCTAGGCAAACGAAGTACCGGTATGGACTTCAACACTGTTGAAGACAAAGATAAGTTTATTCCTCCCCCAGGCAAACGCAGTGCCGGCATTGACTTCAACACTGTCGTAAGCAAACATAAGTTTCGTCCTCCCACAGGCAAACGCAGTGCCGGCATGGAATTCAACGCTGTGGAAGACCAACATAAGTTCCGTCCTCACCCGGGTAAACGCAGTGCCGGCATGGAATTAAACGCTGTGGAAGACCAACATAAGTTCCGTGCTCCCCCAGGCAAACGCAGTGCCGGCATGGAATTAAACGCTGTGGAAGACCAACATAAGTTCCGTGCTCCCCCAGGCAAACGCAGTGCCGGCATGGAATTCAACGCTGTGGAAGACCAACATAAGTTCCGTGCTCCCCCAGGCAAACGTAGTGCCGGCATGGAATTCAACGCTGTGGAAGACCAACATAAGTTCCGTGCTCCCCCAGGCAAACGCAGTGCCGGCATGGAATTCAACGCTGTGGAAGACCAACATAAATTCCGTCCTCACCCGGGCAAACGAAGTGCCGGCATGGACCTCAACACTGTGGAAGACCAAGATAAGTTTCTTCCTCCCCAGCCGGGAAAACGCAGTGCCGGCATGGACTTCAACACTGGGGAAAACCAAGATAAGTTCGGTCTTCCCCGGGGCACACACACTGCTGGCATCAACTTCAACTCTGTGGAAGACCAAGATAAGTTTATTCCTCCCCCAGGCAAACGCAGTGCCGGCATTGACTTCAACACTGTGGAAGACCCAGATAAGTTCTTTCCTCCCTTAGGCAAACGCAATGCTGACATCAACTTCAACACTATGGAAGATTAAGATGAGTTTCGGTCCTCGGTGACAGTCCGCAAACGAAAGTAGGATGATTTACAGAAGTTTCAAAGAAAATTTGCGAATGATAATCGCATCATCTTAATGTAGAAGGATAGCATATCTTGTACGCAAAGTCATGTTTTTAAGATAGTTTTTGTTTCTGGTGAACGCTAAAAGAAACACAAAAATTTGCATATCTAATTAGGTGAGAACCGAGGATAAGCCGAAATTACAAACTTTTCCCGTAATTGAGTTGATGGAACCTTTAACTATTTTCCCTTAAATTCCTTCATCCAGGAGAGTTTCGCAAAAACAAATAAAAATCGATTGCTTGGGACTGACTATCATTTCTCAATATTCTCACAAATGCTCTATTGAATTCTTTGTGACGGTTCATTGACTTATTCCTTGTTTACTTGTCCATGTGTCTATGAAATATAAACTTCTTCAAGTTTTTGAGACGCTCGTCGAACTTCCAGAGTCCTAGTGAAGTTTTCAATATTTTCCAAATTGCCAATTTCCAAGATTTGAAGCCATTTGCTGAACGTATCGGCAAAGTGTTCAGTTTTCTTAATGCTAACTGTGGTCAAGATATTTTAAAAATTTTAATTAACCATGCCCTCAGGCACGCCACTAGAAGCTGCGGTGTCATTCCACACACTGCCTATTGTTCATCTTGTCATTTTATCATTCCCGTGCGTCAAAGTCAGTTCATGTTTTTCGCTGGGAGTCACATTCACCTGACCTTCGCAGCTTCTAAAAATTTCAATAGCTTTTAATTTGCTTAATTCTAATTCCTCTTAAGGCGCTTAAGGTTTTTTACCAACCCCAGTGACCACCATCGTACTTCAGTGTCTATTTCGGAAGAATACTAATTTCAACCTCAATACTAAGCTAAAAACCGTTCGGACTTCAAACTGAAAACCTGCCAGTGAGAACCGAATATAAGCCGAAATTACAAACTTTTTAAAATTTTTCCGTAACTTAGTTTATGAAACCTTTCACTATTTCTCCTTAAATTCTTCATCCAGGAAGTTTTGGCAAAACAAAATAAAAATTGATTGGGACTGTCTATCAATTCTCAATAAACTCACAAATGCACAATAAAATTCTTTGTGACGGTTCATTGACTAATTCCTTGTTTAATTATCCGTTTCTCCATGAAATATAAACTTCTTCAAGTTTTTCAGACCCCTGTCGAACTTCCATTTAGAGTCCTGGTGAAGTTTTCAATATTTTCCAAATTGCCAATTCCAGGATTTAAAGGGTACCGTCTGTAAAGGGTATCGGCAAAGTTTTCAGCTTTCTTAACACTAATTCTTGACAAGGTAATTTAAATATTTTAATCAGTCATGCCATCAGACACATCATTATTCTAATTCCTATTAAGGCGCTTTACCGCCATCGTACTTTAGTGTCGATCTTGGAAGAACACTAATTTTAACTGCAGTTCTAAGCTAAAAACGTTCGGACTTCAAACTATAAATCTTGTCTATGCAAAGGTAAACAAAAATCAACAAAAACTGTTTCATTAAAAGTACAGGAGGTAAGTTCTCAAGGAAACTGTGGTGCTGTGTCAGTGGGGGAGTAACAAGATAATTCGGTGTGATACACTGAGTTGATAATGTAAATTGGCCACTGTAAAGAGTTTCTACAGCTAAAGTTTCGAGCGTTAGCCCTTCGTTAGCCATTCGCTCATTAAAAGTGAGTTATTCACAGTCTATGTTAGTAAATACTCCTTTTGATGAAGGAGCAATGAGTTGACAGTGTTTTAAAACTGAGTCACGTTCACAATCTCATTTCTGTGTCACAGAAACCTTATTTTCGTATAATTACCCTGAAAATGGACACCGGTTAGGGGTGGCCAAAATGTGATCACTTGCGGTGTGACAATGCAAGTGTCCCTCAGACAGCTCACATCATTTAGGAATCCACTTTCCATAGTTTTCTGATGAAATCTAATAACAGAACACCGAAACTTATTTTGACAGTTCAGACATTAAGACTATTTCAAGTTCAAGGACGGCCGGGACTTGAAAAGCATTTTAAGCATATTATGCATGTTAAATTAAAAACCATGTTAAGTAAACAAAAATTACAATATCATTGAACCAGAGCAAGAACACTCCCTTAAGTCTCCTTCCAGCGTTATTTGGTCTAGCTACGCAACGCGAGCGTGTTGCTCTCCTGCATATGTAAAGGATTTGTTCTCTCACAAGGACCAAATATTCGTCGACGAGAACTGAGTTGAGATAAACTTTAAGCTAGAAGCTTTGAAGTACAGCATCGAAAGGTAAGAAAGGTTTAATAAGAAGCATAATTTGGGAAGTTTAGGAGAGAGTCTGGCTACGCTTGGGCATCGTCAAACTCTTGAATGTTCATGGCGTCTTTCAGTGTTTAGACTCTAAGTTAAAAATTCCTCAAACAATACTGTTCGCCATCTACTGTCGTTCACTTAGTAAAGTATCCGACTGTAAACCGTGACCGTTCGGGCGGTTCAGAATCCTCAATAACTACACGGGTCTTATCTCCTTGTCCCAACCTCGAGTAATCTTTCATTGAACGTTTATAAAATTTCACGAAGGCCTAAATTGTTGGTCATACCACGGCTGAATGACTAAATACTTAACTTAAAGGAAAACAAATAAACAAAGAGCATCTTAACTCTTATCGTTCCTTTCGGCACAATGTTGCGTCTTACGCGGCTAGATGTATTCTGCCAGTACTAATTCTGTTGAGTGTGTTCAAGCGACCCAGCAAGATGCAAGCTTATTACACCAGGTGGCACGAAAATTTAAAGTCATGCAGTTCCCTTTGGTGATTTCGCTCCCCTTTTTCCTCATCGCATTTCCAACAATGGATTCTAAGCCTGCTAAGTTCCGTCCTTCCAATGGCAAACTTAGTGCCGGCATGGATTTCAACACTGTGGAAGACCAAGATAAGTTCAGTCTTCCCCCGGGCACACACAGTGCTGGCATCAACTTCAACTCTGTGGAAGACCGAGATAAGTTTATTGCTCCCCCGCCCCCGCAGGGAAAACGCAGAGCTGGCATCAACTTCAACTCTGTGGAAGACCGAGATAAGTTTATTGTTCCCCCGCCCCCGCAGGGAAAACGCAGTGCTGGCATCAACTTCAGCTCTGTGGAAGACCAAGATAAGTTTATTCCTCCCCCAGGCAAACGCAGTGCCGGCATTGACTTCAACACTGTGGAAGACCAAGATAAGTTCTTTCCTCCCATAGGCAAACGCAATGCTGACATCAACTTCAACACCATGGAAGATTAAGATGAGTTTCAGTCCTCGGTGACAGTCCGCAAACGAAAGTAGGATGATTTACAGAAGTTTCAAAGAAAATTTGCGAATGATAATCGCATCATCTTAATGTAGAAGGATAGCATATCTTGTACGCAAAGTCATGTTTTTAAGATAGTTTTTGTTTCTGGTGAACGCTAAAAGAAACACAAAAATTTGCATATCTAATTAGGTGAGAACCGAGGATAGGCCGAAATTACAAACTTTTTAAAATTTTTCCCGTAATTGAGTTGATGGAATCTTTAACTATTTTCCCTTAAATTTCTTCATCCTAGAGAGTTTCGCAAAAACAAATAAAAATCGATTGCTTGGGACTGACTATCATTTCTCAATATTCTCACAAATGCTCTATTGAATTCTTTGTGACGGTTCATTGACTTATTCCTTGTTTACTTGTCCATATGTCTATGAAATATAAACTTCTTCAAGTTTTTGAGACGCTCGTCGAACTTCCATTAAGAGTCCTAGTGAAGTTTTCAATATTTTCCAAATTGCCAATTTCCAATATTTGAAGCCATTTGCTGAACGTTAGTAAAGGGTATCGGCAAAGTGTTCAGTTTTCTTAATACTAACTGTGGTCAAGATGTTTTAAAAATTTTAATTAACCATCCCCTCAGGCACGCCACTAGAAGCTGCGGTGTCATTTCACACACTGCCTATTGTTCAGCTTGTCATTTTATCATTCCCGTGCGTCAAAGTCAGTTCATGTTTTTCGCTGGGAGTCACATTCACCTGACCTTCGCAGCTTCTAAAAATTTCAATAGCTTTTAATTTGCTTAATTCTAATTCCTATTAAGGCGCTTAAGGTTTTTTACCAACCCCAGTGACCACCATCGTACTTCAGTGTCTATTTCGGAAGAATACTAATTGCAACCTACTACTAAGCTAAAAACCGTTCAGACTTCAAACTGAAAACCTGCCAGTGCAAAAGTTGAATAAAAATCAACAACATCTGATTCATTACAAGTAAAGGAGGTACGTTTCTGAAGAAACTGAAGAACTGCGTCGGTGGGAGTATGACAAGATAATTCGGTTTGATCAACTAAGTTGATAAAAGCTAGGGGAATGGTGGGTTGACCACTTAATACAGGCTAACCACTGAGTACAGGGTGACCACTGAATACAGGGTGACCACTGAATACAGGGTGACCACTGAATACAGGGTAACCACTTAATACAGGGTCGCCAATTAATACAGGGTAACCACTAAATACAGGGTGACCACTTAATACAGGATGACCACTTAATACAGGGTAACCACTTAATACAGGGTAACCACTTAATAAAGGGTGATCACTTAATAAAGGGTGACCACTCAATAAAGGGTGACCACTTAATAAAGGGTGAACGCTAAATACAAGTTCCACAGAATAGGACTAATATAAAAAAACGCCTTTTTTACCATTATCTATATAGCTTTTTTTTCGATTTTCTATAAGACCACATTAGCGTTTTAAATCGTTATATATAAATAAATAAAATAAAAAATTTCTTTCCGACATTCTACCTGTCTTATGCAGCGTTTTGTCCAGGCAGACATGAATGTATCAGCTTGATACAACACAATACGATGAAGATCCTCTTGTTGTCCAAGCCAGCTGGACAAACGGTATTCATTCATGCTAGGAACACAAAACAGAAGAAGGTTAAATAATACGCAAAAGGAAATTCTACTTTTAATAATAACATTTATTGGGCCAAATTTCCATTAGCACGATTCCTTTCCAACGCAGCACTCAAATACATAAAAGATTTCCTCAGAGAAAAGTCGCCCTTTCCGAAAAGCGAAATGAAAATTTTTTAACAAAAATACTTGTTCAGGGAAAAATGTGGTTTAACCCCCCCCCCCCCCTCCCACACACTCTTTGGAAATTTAATAATTTAGACCAAGAAAGATTAAATTCTACTCCCGCTGCTGTCGTCGATAAACTTTCATTTCAGAATGAAACAAAGAACGTTTCTTTCTTGAAGAACACACTTGCCACGAAAAAGTTTCCAAGCAGTTCAATACCTGTCCATCGCTGAGCTACCAAGCCTGCTTCGGACCAATGAACTAGTCAGCAACAGGGTGGGGCCTGAAAAAAACAAACAAACAAATTCCAAATCAGTAAACCTGCATGCAGGTGAATAACAAACCCACATTCCAAGATTTTGTGATGGTTTTACATTTTAGAGTAACAGTCTTTCCGGTGTTGACCCTGAACATCTTGTCTAGTTATTCCTAAAATTTAAAATAACTTTAACCTTTGGAATAAGACCATCTGTATGTAGCAATTCAGTCCACTGGCTTACTTTCTATATGTCACTTCGACCGAGTACCGTAAACCTACAATCAAGGTAATCACACTGGCCGAAAAACATCATAAGCGGCCAATGAGAACTCGATGTAAAACAAGCAAACTGCCTTAAGCGCGGGAAAACAAGAGTGACCATGTCGCGATTGCTTTCAGTTTTGGCGCGAAATTTGCTGTCCAATCAGAGAGTATGGTGGAGCAAAACCAATTTCTCCTTCATTATGTACTTACCGATAGTATGAAGAGCTAAGCTGAGTTCAAATGAGAAGTTTGAGACTGGGACATCCTCTGACGCAGGGATGATGGCCACTGTGCCGAGATTTGAGCCTCCGAATATCTGATTATCAACCGGGAGGTGATTTTCTGCGTATCAAAACGTGTTTACCATATGAGTTGAAAAGAGTATTCCAAGCATCTTACAAACAAAGATCTAAAATGCTTCCTTGTGTGTGTAAAACACCCCAGCACAGAAGGAAGCAAAATCGCTAACCACTAACCAAGACAATCTAAGAACAAGTACGGCAACCATCACGATACGAACACGCAAACGAGTATTCGACCCAACAACGGAGAACGGAACGAAGAGATCAAAACTCGAACGTACAACCAAATCCAGTAAACTAGTGAAGCTGGAAATGAACAAACTAATGCCTCTTTAGGTATTTATTTTTGGTCAAAGCGCTCATAGAGTTTATTACAAAGTCAAAAAGTAGCATTCAAGAGTTGACCAGACTGTCCAATCTGCTGAGATGATTAGAATTTGCCGTTGATCAGTAACTTCGGTGCTGTAAACAATACTTTTAACTTTTTTCATCTTCGTTCTCACACGTACACTTCACAACACAGTAAAGAAGTATCTTCATACCAAGCAATGTTTCGCTTCGTGCGTAACTTCGTCTGTACTGTCCCAGCAGCCGTTCACCGAGTAAATGAATCAGACGAGTAACTACCTGTAAAAGAAAGAGAAACCAAACTGAAACGTTTTTATGATTTCTTTCTTTAGGGGATGATTATAAATCCCACTTGAAAGTAGAAAAAATAGGCACGTTGTTAAGTCTTAGAGGACAGCATGGGCTATAAAGTGCATTGCACAGATACAATTGACAGCAGAATAAAACGGTGTTGGTCATTTTGTTTAACGATAATTACAAGTTTACCTGAGGGAAATGTCTCTTGATTGTGTTCAACAACCCATCAGGAAGAACTGCCAGCTCAGTGTCTCTGTGTGTGGAAACATGAAAGACCGGTAATTTTCACAAGGTCTAACCTATACCGCGGCTTTACGCACGCAGTGGGCCTCAGAGATTCTATATAAAAGGGTTGATTTAATTAAATAAATGTCCTTCCACCATCAGTTTTCGGCCCTCTTAACACTGTTCACAAAAATAAATGTTCAGCTAAAAGGTTCTGCTCAGTCGAAGATGGCTTACAACGCTGTTCTTAGAAACAACGGCTAAATTTTGTTTAAATAACAGTCCCAATGAGCATGAGTTTACAACAAAACGCCTCAGTTGCAGTCTTGTCGAGACGTCACCCAAATATTTTTTGGGCTGATGTCAACCATACTTCAGACAACATAATTAGAAAACTTATTGCCAGTGACATCCGATTAATAAAAGTACAAATAGCACTTAACCACTCTTCATTTATTTTGATCTGTTACATTGGTGAATTAATTTCTTAACGTAGTTCAGTTTTGTGCTTTTGTTTCAATTCTTTTGTTGTATTTGTATTGTATATGATCGCAATCGCTGCCTACGAAAGGAATTTAGATGTATCTGTAGAAAATAAACAGCTCTTCATAGAATCATACATACAAAAGGATCTACAAACCGAATAGCATGAACTGTTGTCGCCCTCGGAGCTTGTGTCAACACTTCAACCTGTAAACAAGGAATAAACCAACATCATTGACATACGTATATCAAAACCGGCAGCGTGGTAAGATTCGTTTTTAACAACATCGACCATGCTATCAAGTGAATAGCTTTGCCTGGACTGTTCTAGTATGTGAGACCCTTTAGGTTCCCTTAAACGAAGTTAGATAGGGGGACGTCGGTGAGGTGAACTAAATATGGTAAAACAGCAGAAATTTGAAAGGTAAAAACACTAAAGTCAGAAATTCTATCAATAAACGAGTTTTTTTCTGCTAGTCTACTAACAACAGCATTTACGATCTCTTTCACCAAAATCAGGAAGAAAAGAGAACGAATCCTCTGAATAGTTTCGCGTGGGAATAGCGAACAGAACACGTACAATCGCGTGGAAAACAAATTGACTGTCCATGCGATGTTCACGTGATAAAAATTCCTTGGAGTTTTCTAAAGCAGGGAATAATCTAGAAATAGTTTAAAAGGTTAGAATCTTTGGTATTCAGCCTACACGGGGCTTTTGAGTCTCCTTGTTCAATATTCATAATCCTATCCACGTAGGTAGAAGACGCAAATGCCCCGGGAACGAGATTCGTGACAATTGTGTACATGACGTAAGTGGACGATACTCACCACTCCCACCAGTTCTCCGCGGCCAGCCTCGCGATCGAGTTCTTTCTTGCCATTGCTTGATGTCACAACCGAACGAAGGCGGCCATTTAACACAATATAAATACAGTTCGATTGTTCTCCTTGCCTGAAATACAATTTACAGAATACGTGGATTCACTTTCCTTTAAAAGTACGCGAGAGAAACATCGCGGTTTGCATAAACTAACAACGCATGCACAGAACCGTGAATGCGCTTGCCGACCAAAATTTAATACAAACTGAAAGAAAAAATGCAAGGTTAAAAAGGGAGTTTACGCCACAAACTTCAACAGACAGCGAGAAGTCGTTCATCGCGTAACCGAGACTTAAAAAAGTAAAGCACTAGTGTCGGGCATGAGCTCCGAACACACGTGCTTAATTAAAAAAAAAACCTGTTATATGCAACAAGTGTACCTGTAAACTGCTCTACCGGCTTCAACATGCATCCAGTCCAAAGCGTAGTCGATTTGTCTCAGGAAAGGAGACAGATGACCAATAAGGGAATGAGCCACGTTCAGAATGACTCTGGGCTTGTGACGAATAACGCTGAAACAC